GCAACCATTTTGCAACTATTAATTTGCAAATGCAAAATTCACTTAGCTCCTAAGAAAGTGTGCTGCTTTCATACATCTCCTGGAGATCTCTACTTTATTAGTCAAAGGTTTAAACCCAGTGTATTCTGCATGAATAATCTCTCTCCTCTTCCCCTTCCTTCCTCCTGTCCACATCTAAATGCAGAATCCTCAGCTTCCCTGTCTTCAGTTTACAGATTATGCGATCCTAAGTGTCACTCACTGGATTACTGCACATAACCTGAGCACTACCCGAAGCTTACTTGTCTTCAACTTGTCCAGCATTGCTTAAAAGGAATTATCCCTCACAATCCATATACCAAATCTGCACAGCCCACTTATCTCAAGATTCTGTGTGTCACCTACCAGATTATCCGTTTTAATCCATACATTGAATCTACATAACATATGTCTTTAATTCATGGGCTCTGATGAGCTATAGTATCACTGAATGGATTATTTCTCTTTATCCATTATTGGCAGTTGTAAAACCGTTCACTGCATACTCTCTCATGCCCCATCTTCTCAACATATAAGCAAGATTAGAGTCCCCAGCAAACTGAACTCTATCACACATCAAACACAGCTGCATATAATACTTGCACTCATACTTTACGTAACCTGGAACCCAGTTGTTCACACAGAACAAATGCCTGTGTTATTATGCATTAAAGATTAGAATTGGTAGGCTAATCTTGCTTTCAATTACACTCACACTCTATGGTTACTCCAGGACAGTCTTTGGAGTTACCTAGAGTGGCTACAAGGAAGAGCTGATTTTATCCTAATGATGATCTCTTTCACAATGAGTGCAGAAAACACTTCACAAAGTTGTTTAGGAACTGCCCTGTACAATAGAGAAGGATTTTCAAACAACAAAAAAAATCAGGTTCAGGCTTGCCCAGTCTTTCTTGGGAGACTCAGGCACAATCACTGTTAACAATGCCTTCACTTCAACAAAAAACCAACTCAGAAAGATTAGAAACAAAAGGCAGTTTAGCCTTTTGTTCCACACACCTATTCAAAATTAGCTAAGTGGGGAACATATAAAATATGCATTATTATTTCTTGACAAGTCTTGATAAGCGAGAGATGGAGAAGATTAGCAGAAAGGCTCTGTGTACACTGGGGAAGTTTTAAAAAAGAGTTCTCATCATGAATAAAGCTGCTTCACTCGTGTTAGCAGAACTGTGCACCTCGTGATGTACATGGTCACCTGGGGGGCTAGTACCATTCCCAGAAGTCTTCTCAGAGGAGGCTCAACACCAGTGAAACAAAAGTTTAATGGTTGATTTCTGCGTATGGAGACGGCCACTGACATTGATGAGCATCAAAATAAACTTCTTATACCTTTTCTTACCAGTGGGCGTTTGACAGTGTTCTTTCGGAGGGAAGCAACCACTTTCACCCTGGAATGCACAGGTATCAGGAGGCAGAAGGGAGTGTAATTTTACTTCCTGTAGATGATTAGTTTGAGATCTGAATTTCTCTCCGCTCCACTGAATCCAATAAACTGCATTATCCATGAATTATCCAGAAGCCATTTGAGCCTTGTTCTTGAATATGATGGTTATAAGTAAGTTTGAACAGGCTTTAACCAATTCAATATATAATTTTACAGCTTTATTTTAAGATAATTCTATTTAACAGCAGGTTTTGTGGGTTTTACTATAGACTGATTTGTTTTCAACAGAGTAAAAATTCTAGGGATTTCAAATAAAAATTTCTTAAGAACTTTCCCATATCAAACTTATTTAGCCCCAGGCTACCTCTTTAAACAAACAGAGGCATTTGAGTTAAAATTTCTACAGTTATGAAAGGTTCTAGATTTTGTCCCATTTTAAGTGTAAGAGTATTCCCTTGCAGTACCTTTCAGTCAAGCCCTGAAATTAAATATTACATTTCCTTTTCCATTAGCAACTGGGCATACACAGAACCTTCTAACTGTAATCTTGAAGTTTGCAGCTAGACCTCCGCAGATCCTCAGTGATGGTTCTCCCATTTTACAGGCAGGCAGATGAAGGGACGGGGGCTTAAAGTAGATGCTAAAAGTAACAAAGCAGCCAAGAGAAACAACAGAATAGAAAACGTGGGAGTTTGGCGACTTCCAGCCATTTACAACTCCCCTATCTTTAATAAAATATTACTGCTTTCCAGCTTAAAAGAAATAACACTAATAGAAAATAAAGTCCTTCGCTTCATCTCCCTTTCTTTTAATCTCTCTCAGAGAATAAAACTCAATGGCAATAACACAGACTGGGGCATTAACAATATGTAGCCTAGCACTGAGACTTTAGCACATGACATACTAAAACTCCCCCAGATCTAATGAAAAACACAATGAAATTTTGAACAGTTAAATGGAAAAAACTATTCAGCTCTTAAGACAGTTGGGCAGTACAGCTTCTACTGCTGTCCACATTCCAGGGTGTATTAATAATAAGACACTACTTGTGCAGGGTTTCCAAATATCACTAATGGAGAAATGAGGGAAAAAAGAGCAGCTGCCAAGCCAAATATACAGAGAAGTTAATTAAAAAATCACAACTGGAAAACTTAATAATTTGACATGCCTATAGAAGGACAAAAACATTTTCTAGCATAATAGACGTGTATTTGTACACGCATAAGTGAGTATAAAACAGCTCAACTCGCACACCTTTCACGTGTCCTCGCTAAATACAGCTGCAATACAGCTGAGCATTGTTTGCTGGACGCTCATGGCTGGCGGTGCCATGAAAATCACATTCCTGGGCACTAAATAATCAGCCTTCCTGACCCCCCAAGAACCTGTAAGTCAAATTCATTTACCCCCAGAGGGCAATGCTCTATTGTATCCTCCCTTCTTTCTAGCCACCTAGGAACAATGGACAATAATTGCAACTGTCACGGCAGTCAGTAGGAAAAATAAACCAGTGCCTGTTTTCACAGCTTACTGCCAAACCTGATCCAAATACCTAATAACCATGCCCCCAACCATAGAACCTCAGTTGCACTAAAAAGCCTCAGATGTGAGGCTTTTGAACTGAGCTACAGAACAATAACTCGACTTGTGTTCAAAATATGAAGCTAAAAAACAAAAATTAAAGCAAAGAAAACTCTTCTTTGAGGCTGTGCTGTTGCTCCCCATCCTCCCCCGAGCAAGACTGAAAGGACTGTTGGAATTTCTTTCGTGCTAGGATATAGCTGCTGCTGCTTTCAAGTTGAACTTGTGAAAGGGAGAGGAAGGGAGAAAAAAAAGATTGCCTTCCAACAGAACAAGATCATAAGGACTGGGAGGAGACCGTCTTCTCAGCGCACAGCACTTTTCAGAGCAGCTTCACCGAGCCCAAAGCCAGAGGAAAATCGCTGGGAGTCCTTCTCAAGGCTCTGGCATATCAAGAGTTAAAGAGGCTCCAGACAACACACAAGAACTGCTGAAACACACGCCCGAAATTGAACATGAAAGCCGCCTATGTACTTTGGGCCCGAAACATTTTAAAGATTCACCAGTTCATGGCAGCTGATGAAGTTGATTTAAAACAATACGCTTTAAAAAGCCAGAACTCAGATAAGCCCAGTGGCTACCCTGCCTCTTTATGACCTGTTGCTTTATGCATATGGAAAAAACGTACGCAGTGGGAATAAAGAACCCAGGGTTTGGCCCTCTGTTATAATAATATCATCTCAGCCTATTTGGGGCCGAAGCACTATATTCTGTTTTAAAGTTATTCTACATATGTAATGAATATATATTTTTGAATTACAGCCTCCTAGGGAGAAGCTGGGGAAGCGAGTGGCATACTTTCCTGCTTGTGTAAGTCAGTGGACTAGCCCAAACTAATGCCGGTGGCATATCAGTGACAAGCTGGAAGGCACATATAATTAAAATAACTTTATCTTCGCACATGTACCAATACATTAATCTCTCTGAACACGTCATGTTGTATTCTTTCCTGAAAACTGCCCACTTCTTCTGCAGCAGGTCCTTAAACCTATCTGACACAAGTTTTGCGGGCCTGCCCGAACGAGGATCTCGGTATGAGGGACAACATTAGTAAGCAAACAAACAAAAAATAATGGAGAGAAATGAAATCTCGTTATGAACATAAAAGAAGGGTTTAATTTTAATCTTCTTCTAGTTTCACATTTCCAAAACAACATTGGCTTTGATTTTCCTACTCCAGATGCACACTGATATAAATGGGAGAAGAATCAGTCACTGTTTCTTTTCAGAGTGATAAAAGGCTGTTCCGGAAACTAAAAATGTTTACACACATGCATTTTGAGTCAACTCCTCATCACAATCACTGAGGAAGAATTATATAAATATTAAATTACATCAAAACAAAAAACCTACAGGTTCCCTAAAATTACCTCACTTGTATAAAATGGGAAAATATCTTGGCAAAGCAGAAGCTACTGCTGCTGGAGAGTGGTCAAATTTTGTCATTTTCCTTCTGGAGTACAGCTTTAAAAGAACATGCTTTCGTGCACAGATGTTGTACGCTGTCTTTTAAAATCTGCACTGGCTAATTTTGGTACCTAGAGGTATCATAACACAAACTTTGCTGCTTTTTTTTTTTTTTTTCCTACAAGCAGGAAAGTAAAAAAAAACCTACAACGTCAAAATCTGTCAAAAAATGAACATGGACTTCTGACCACCCTTAGATTTCAGAAGCTGAGCTCTGCTATACTCTGATTCCACATAAGCCAGTGTTTGATATGTGAATTGACTTTTTTTTTTTCAATCCAGCAACAGTGTGTCCTCTTATAATACAGACCACTAGATGCAACAAAAGCTTTACATAAGGTCATTCACTTAGGGCAATATATAATTTCATTTATTTATATTATCACAGATGGAGAGCACACATTTCATTTAAGCCTCAAATGATGATATTTCAAGGGGAGGGGAGGAGGATCAAACAGACAAAGTTCCATAAAGCCAGTGATATCTGTATACTCATTTTGAATTTGCTTTAGCACAGAAACAGCGTTACCTTTTATTTCTCCAAAGTTCCCTGATCCCATGGCAAGAAGCTTGTCTTTCCAGTCCTTTGATAGTAGCTTTTCAATACTGGGAGTTTCTGAGTGAAGGGGGGGAAAAAAAATGTAAGCAAATCAACATGACTGTCTCCACAATAGAACTCATTAGAAGTCTATCTGCTAAAAATAAGGCCACCCCTATTCTGGGCCCCTGTTCCTAATGACTTCATCAACAAACTGATAAGAAAAAAAAAAAACCGGGGGGGGGGAGAAAAAAAGAATGTGCTTTGTCACCTGCTGTTTCAAAACCATTAGCTTTTTCCTCTTGTGGAACAAAACCCCGGTAATTCTGTATGACAATGGGCACATATAAACCTGCAGTTCATTGTTTTTCAATTTGGTGAACAAGTTGCTGCCTATAATGGATGCCTGTCAATTTCTGGGTGTTAGTCTGCAGTCAAAAAATAATTATGTTGATAAAATGCAGAGTAAAGAGAGAGAGAGAGAGAGAGAGAGAGAAAGAGAGAGAAGCAAAGTATTAGCTCCTAAATCGGCTACATGTAATTATATCCCTCTGAGTGTTTACAATTACATCCACTTTATAATGTGTGTTTAAACATCGTGCGGTGGTAAGCACACTGTGGAAAGATTTTCCGGTAACACGCACATTATAAATAATAATAAAAAGTTGGGTATGAAAAAAAGCTTGAAAAGATTGCAAAATCCAGAGGGAGAAAAGGCATTGCTTAGAATGGAAACCCATTATTTGCTCATTTCAGATTCTATCACTTCCTCTAAAAATAAAATAAAAAGAAACTACATTTGTTCAGTATTTTCAGGAAAAATGCATTGAGGGTGTGGATGGGTCTGATATTTATGCCTGTAACTCTTGCATTCTGACCTCTTTTTGTGTAGAATTTTAATGCATAAGTAAATATAAATGCTAATAAAATTCAGAGAACATTAAACTCAATTCCAAACAATGTAATTGTATATTCTTGTCAGCATTTAGATGGGTACACAATTACAATAGCTTTCAATCCCACGATTAGCACTGCATTCAGTTAGAAAATGGAGTGTACTAAAAGATAAGTGTCCCAGTATGCGCCATCTAAATAACAATACCCACACTTATTATCTGGATCTAAGACATATACTGCTATTCTCCACATTCGTGTTTATGTGTATTTGTATTTGTTCAGGCATTTGTTTACCCCCTACCAGGAGCATAAAGGGAGTACATGTTAACTTATCAAAGGGACCGTCTGGCCTAGAGACCATACAATTATTAGCAACTGGTTAATTTTCCCCACAGTAAAAACCATTACGAGCAACCTTCATTATCTTGTTTGGCTAATTCTGCCTCCTTCCTTCAAGCCCCAACCTGGGGCTCCGGGGAGGCAGCGCTGCGGTGCCCGGCGGGGCTCCCCCCGGGAGCTCCCGGCCCTTCTCCCTCCCCACCAGGAGGGAGAGGAACCGAACCAGCCCCAGCCCCCGCTACACCAACCACACGCAGGCTCACGCTGACGCGCAGGTGAGGACCCTGAGACGAGCCCTCCTGCCTCCCGCACAACGCGCCCCGCGCAGGCTGCGCGCAGGCGGACGCTCCGCGCAGGGAACATCCCCATGCCCGAGCCTCGCTGGGCGCTGCCAATCTAGCAGCGAGCCGCATCCCATTCACAGCAGAAGAGATTATAATTCCCCCCCCCCCCCCC